TTTCTTGGATGTAAGTGAACAAATCAATAAATCGATAGAAGGACCCAGCGAGTCGTTGATAAAAGTAGCCTATCTTCTGCGCCGTGGTTTGTTAATAGGGGAGAGAATTTCAGCCTTTTCGGTTCATATACAAAAGAGTCTATAAGCTACAAACATCCTAACAAACAAAGGTACAGTGTTTGAGTTGTATATATATATAGATTATTGCATCATATTTGGCTACGTTCTGGGCAGCTCCCGCAGTTGAGGTTCTCTTGTGAGCGGTTGAGCCCTTCAGGTGTCGTGGATTGGATGCGCGTAAGAGCGAGGAAACCAGGAAATTGTAGATGAACATCGTTGCGGGAGTAGCTGGTGAGTGCACCGTTCCATGGGACTGGGTCTCCAGCGGCCGACTCTGTGGAGGAACCCAGAACTTTTCGATTGGATTGAGCCTCTTGTGTGTCGGCAATACAGGACGCGCGGCTTGTCCTGTGTTAATAGGTTGGTCATCCTCTTTAGCGACCTAATAGTTTTTCTTGTATATAAGTTTTACATTTGTTGTTTTATGTATATAAACTTGATCTAAATACACTTGTGTTATTTATGGGTTGGATAGTTGGGTGACCGCGTCGAGTGAAAGCACGGATGAGGACTGTCGGTTGCGGACGCGTTATGTCCTAGGGTGTAGAATTGTGGTGTATGGCGGTCGAGCACACGGCTAGGGGTGCTGGATCCACCGAGTCGCATGCACTTTGTACAAGTGCAAGACAAGAATTTTATTGATATAATCGAAATTCCATTGTATTAAGTCCTCTGGAAATTGATGTCCGTTTTGAATTTCAACCGCAATAAGTCATACACTTCTCATTTCTAGATAGTATGCATAGTACCATTCGATAGAGCAAAGCATGCTCTACAAGATGGCAATCTTGATTTAGCTACAGCTCTGATCCATCTTGAATTTTAAGCCAAAAACTAAAAAGATTCAACTGCCCGAAAAACCGAGAGAAATCGTAACTCTGTTCGTAAAAATCCTTCAAAAATTCTAACTTGCCCACGTAAACACTGTCTACATAAGACATCTATATACGCCGTTGCCGTATTTTTTCCTCTGCTAGAAATCAAGAAAACGGAAATTCTCGTGCATTTGCCAAAGTGATGCTCTGCTGTCTTCACATAGGTAAGTTGTATACTACAAACCTGTAGAAGTATAAATGTAAATTTTCAGCTCTGTGCAAGCTTTAGTTCTCAAGAAATATCCAATACAGCTTTTCCAATTCAGGGGTCCAAACTGAAATTTAGATTTCTGGAGAACTATAGCTTATAGAGAGCTGAAAATTTACATTTATACTTCTACACGTTTGTAGCATACACATGTACCTATGTGGGAACAGCACAGCATCACTTTGGCAAATGCATGAGAATTTCCGTTTTCTTGATTTCTAACAGAAGAAAAAATACGGCAATGACGTACTATATAGATGTCTTGTGTAGACAGTGTTTACGTGGGCAAGTTAAATTTTTGTAGGATCTTTATGAACAGAGTTACGGGTTTTCTCGATTTTCGGGCAGTCGAGCCTTTTTAGATTTTGGCTTGAAACTCGAAATCCATCAGAGCTGTCGCTAAGGCAAAAATGCCATCTTGTACTTGCTTTGCTCTGTCGAATGGTGCTCTGTATACTATCTAGAAATGAGAAGTTTATGACTTCTTGCGGTTGAAACTCAAAACTGACATTAATTTCCGAACAACCTAATATATCATGTTGTCGGTAAAATCCTAAATTTCACTGTACATGTAGTTTAAATAAGCATTATGCATGCAACATTTCGTCGTACAAGACCTAACAATTTGGTTGACCTGGGAAAGTGTGCTACATAACTTCACGCAAATATCACGCCTCATTTTCCCGTTTTCTTTCCAAATGTGTGGGCTTAGAGTTTTGAATAGTTGCTCCAGCCATTATCTGTGGCGATTTGCATGGAAAAGATTTCCGGTTCTTCCTATCGTAAATTTTTTTCATGTGAACTGATTCATAAATCGTTTGGTTTTACTGAGCATATGGAGTAAATATGTACCTTTTCCAGAGAGCAGTATCACTACCAAAAACAGTAATTACTAATACCGAGAAGTTTCGAAAGTCTCAGGCTTCTTGGGAGTCAGCCTGATAAGCGGATAGGGATCCGTTAGCTATCAAGAAATTCCAGTGAAATGACTCTATTTTTGTTATTTTACATACCCCCATCGACCCAACCATACTTCGACCCATTTTAGGGGGGGGGGGTGGGTGAGATCATTTCTAGTTCCCCTTCCCTCTCCCCCTCACCGTAGAACTTGGAAGTGGCCTATATAAGCTACGAAATTCTGCGAAGGGATTATTTTCGCCAAAAATTGAAGTTTTCAAATTTCCAAAAGTCATTTGGGCAGAATCCCCATATGAAAGATTTGTTATTGCGCCCCTTACCCTCCTTTGAAAAAAATGTATATGGAAAAGCATTGCTGTTCACTAACTACTTCGTACACTATTTCTCACAACTTCACCGCCCTTAGGCATTCTTTGTAAAAGTTTGAGGAGGAAAAGAATTTCGTTTTTTTAATTGTTAAGCGCTCAACCCGACCGAGGATCAAGCAGAATGGAAGGGAGGGAGATGGGATCAAGACTTCTTTGATTTCATTTTGTTGTTATTTGATGCTACGTCAACACTTAGCAGTGTTTTCATCACACTTCTGCTTATTTTCTTTTGCTAATTCATAGCGAACATAAAAAACGGCGCAAAACGAGTTCTGCTTGGAAGAATCATTGTTCGTGTTTTGTAAATTGCTAACAATAAGGTGTATGATCTGCGTAAACAACGGAATGTATAAAGCATAATTCTCAAGTCAGCTTTCTAGTCAAAATTGTGGTCGGCTTAATGGCTACAATGTAAAAATAACATTTGCAGAATGGATTCATTCTTGCCTCCATTTGCTTATGAAAGATTAAATATACTTATTAGGTTGTTCCATACGTCTTGCGTAAAAAAAACATGAACTTCTGTATGAGAATGTTCGAGAAATGTTTCATTATAACAATCTTTATGTGATATATAACAAATACAGTGGCTTCAAAAATGTTTTCCAGAATATCTAGAATATTTGTGGGCTCACAACCACTAAAAATTTTCTAGGCTCATTTGAATTACTAAAAACTTCTAGAAATACTTTTGATCATTTAGACGTAAAAACAAATCACCTGCAAAATCTTATAAGCCACCTAAGTAGGTTTCAAAAATTTCGCGACCCATTCTTGAGGGGGAGGGGGCATTGACCGCCTATCAAATGGTATTAAATTAACAAAATTGAAATGTCGAACAAAGCCTCCAAAGAAAACGCAAAATCACATCCGATAATCATGAAATTCTCTCAGCTAAAATGAATAGCTTTTCAAACTAGAAACCTGTCACTTAGCGTAGAATTTCAAATGTGATTTGACTGTTTCTTCATAACAGCTTGCAATTATATTAGGTTGAACCGAAAGTTCTGCCCCACCATTTTCAAAAAATCGTAACTTCTTTCGGTCACGACAATTTTGCGCAACTCAAATTTTTTCTGAAAGCGCAAAGCATGTAGTTTCCAAAAGCTCCCTGGGGACTTTCCGACATGCTCAGATGGCAGAGATAAAAATGAAAGAACGAGATCAACCGATATTCGGAATTTTTAAGTAAGAATTCTAAAAATTCAGAGACAGTGCGCTAAAATTCAGAAGAACCATTATCTTAATTTTTGTTACATTCGATTACTATCTGAGTCAAGTTTGTGCTGATCGAGGTCTTCTTTCAGAAATTATGAATTTTTGAAAAAAATGCCAAAAAATCCATTTCTCAAGAATTCTTAGGAAATTGATTTTTCGGCATTATTTCTCAAAAAATCATAACTTTTGAAAGAAGGGCTCGATCAGCACAAACTTGACTCAGATAGTAATCAAATGTAACAAAAATTAAGATAATGGTTTTTCTGAATTTTAGCGCACTGTTTCTGAATTTCTAGAATTCTTGCTTAAAAATTCCGATTCGGATGATCTCGTTCTTTCATTTTTATCTCTGCCACCTGAGCATGTCGAAAGTCCCCAGGGAGCTTTTGGAAACTACATGCTTTGCGCTTTCAGAAAAAATTTGAGTTGCGCAAAATTGTCGTGACCGAAAGAAGTTACGATTTTTTGAAAATGGTGGGGCAGAACTTTCGGACCAACCTAATATATATCAAAAGGGACTTTTGCTTAGAGAACAGTCAGTACATGATTTTCTCTTTTCGTGATGCATTTGCATTTCAAACAATTAGCAATTTGACATATTCTGTTTGGAATGCAAGCGTCATATGGCTCGTGCTTTCACTGACGCATTTGAGATTTTTTCGTTTGGTCGTTAAGCATTTCCCTCTTTGTCATATGAAAATTAGTTTTTTGGTGGACATTGTTATCTCATTTTCTTGGATTTCCTAATTTTTCATTATGTTAAATACTTGAGTGAAAATAAATCAAATTGACCGATGTGGAGCCACCATATAAGAGATTCACTAGGCATAGGTTTCTTACCATTATTATTTTGCCATTTTTATTAGTACCAAAAATTTTCAATGACTTTTCTTAATCACTGTTGTTTCTATTCAAGCCGGTTGACTTCACGAACAAGTTTTCTGTTTTAAATACCCATGGAAGCTCCGGAAAACAACTTGTTTGTAGAAACGAGGCTGTAAATAATTCGTTTTCGAGAGACGGCTCCCTCTGCAGTGCTACGACGCAATTACTTCCCGAAACGACATTCACACATTCCCAAAACTGCACAATTAGATGTGAACTATGGTCTGGATGTGTTTGAACTCGTCCGCACCTCTCAGCATGAGTCTCAACACATTAAGCTGGCCATTTTGCAGTGTGGGTAGCACTTCCCACCTTTCCATCCATGAAAAGAAGCCGCTGAAGTCAACTTTGGCAAAACAAAACCAGAAATGAAATCAATGATGAGTCGACCGCCTACGTCTATGTTATGACAAAGAAATTTGTCGGCTGACTTGCCTATGATTCCGACCATACCATCGTCGCTTTGCAAGCACTACCAAGTTTTGCCTTTGCCTATCATATCCTAATGAAAGACTATCATATTTCTGGTATGGAATTCCCAGGTGATGGTGAAACAGCGAAGGAGCATAAACTTGTTCTTGACATGGACAAACCCTCGATCTTCACACTTACAAAAGGTTCGAGCCAACTGAGGGTTGCTTTTTAGCAGACACTTTACGACATTTTTGTGTAATTCGTCGAGTTTAGGCTCGTCTGCACCGAGGAAAACTACTTCGGGACCAAAGTTTCTGGAGTTGTGGAAGCGACACAGCCTAATCTTATCCATAGTTTTCCTAGCCCTGTTCATCCTTGCACTTGTCGCTTTGCTTGTTCTCATTCTTGTACGAGTGTTCGAGTAGAGGAAATGTTCTGGGGACTTCTCTAGAGAATTATTCTAGAATAATTTTCAGTCATGGGTGAGTCGCTGCTGCCAATGTAGCCCATTGAAAGTCAGCTTTGTGAGCGGTCGAATGCTGCCTCATTCAGCGCCGCCACCCCCCAGCCCCCTCGATCGATTTCTTCAATCCTGCTTTTCTAGGATTCAGATATGCTTGTTTTGTCCGCCTACTTCAAATCTGTGATTGTATCGAAGAGTACAATTTGATCCCTCGCACTAACGTGATTTCATGTACTTATGTCGTTTTCGCGAATTTCAAGCATGAAAATGAAATACTAAGCCTAGAATCTTGTATCTACACTTTGCACATGGACATCTGTTCGCAGATCAGCACACTTTGTCGTCATATTATTAGTCAAACATATGTTGAGCACAAAAAATAGTTTGTCGCATATTTCCAAAGCTCATTTCTATAGAGGACCCCGTAGAGCTGCGACTGCTTGCCTTAATGCAGCAGGATCAGTAAATATATTCTGAATTTTTTATGAAAAGCTGAAGAAAGGAGTAGAAGAGATCCGGAGAAAAGGACAAAGTTCAGCCGAACCTAAGAAAATGAAAAAGCACAAGTTCTCGCCATTACGTCGAAAGCAGTGCTAATGTTTGCACAGTGTAGATTCGCGAAATGCGGACTCGAACGAGCTCGTCGAGCACTCAAGTTGAAAAGCTATTTGACTGAATAGCTCTCCTACAGCTCGAATTTTCCAAAGTTTTAATCTCTATGTTCATCAAGGCTTTTTCGATGTTTTGATGCATCATTCTAATTTTTCTTTTCTTTTCATACATAGAAAACTTTAGTAATAGTGATTCATTCCTTTATTGTCTTGTTCCTGCCGCTCAAATGAAAAGAAAAAATTTTTTTACTGAGGCTAACCCAGCTAGCTTTTGCCCGCAAGCTCGCTAACATTTGAACATTGGGATCTGCATGTCCAAAAATTCATGTCATAAGATGTTTTCTTGGAATCGACTTTTTGTGTAAATAAATAGATAGATTTTTCAGATTTTTTTTTGCGTAGTTCGCTCCTTCCGTGCATTTATGTTCTCTAGAAACTCTGCTGACGCCAATTTATTTGCTTCTGCTTTCTGAAAAATTCACATGCTTGCATCAGATTCTTTTTCTTACTCGGGGTTTTCATGCATCAAAAATGAACTTCTCAGGAGATTGTGTTTCTTCAAAATCGCGAAAAACGGTCTAAGTATTTCCTATGGAAACAATTTCCTAAAAGCAAATGTTATGCCTCTGTTTGGTAAATACAAGAAGGGAAGAGATTAGTGTCTTACAGCCTGCTATATTCATTTATATTTATTCATCAAAGTATCTTTGAAACTCCTAATAACGCCACTAGTGGGAACTAAGCGAATTGGAAAAAATTCATGACTTGAGAAATTTGAAACATAGTTAAGTATATCTTCATTTTTCTGAAGTCACAGGTGTAGGTTCACTTGTATGTTCTTTGAACCACTTGAAGGAAAGGAAATAAGAACATCGATATTTGGACACAAAGGACCATTGTAATCTTTGTCTGCAAATCTGTCATTACTGGTAATTCACATCAAACAAATGCATTTGAAATTATGGCTTACGAGGCTATTTTTGGAGTTTATGGTCTCCTTCTAACGGAGAAACTAAGTACATATTAAGCTATGTGTGACTTTTCTCATTCTCAGAATTCTGAAACGATAGTAAGATGAAGTAATTTTGCATGCAGTGGCGTTTTGTGCAGAAAGTTTTAAAAAAGACTCTTGAAAAAAGCATTTTCCTGCGAAAAAAAAATTTCTGTTATTTTGAGCTACATACAAACGATGTTATTACATCTAACTATTAGTCTACTGTTTAGATCTTTGTTTGGGCTTCGTTCCCGCTGGAACCTTCAAATTTTTGATATCTTGTGTACATGTATATGCAGTCAGTGCATGAAACATATTTTATGGGTATTAAAAACTCCAAGACAAAAAAGAAAAACTTCTCACGAAATCAAGAAGTCTTCTTCTCATCAGTTTTCAAGTATTCGTGCACAGCAAATCCGAAACAAAACAACGAAAAAGAAATTCAAATTAGTTACATTTTATTGACCGTGTTAAAAAAACAAACACTAGACTAGTTTCCAATGTTAAACATTTAAAATGCCATTTTGAAGTGCTATCTTTTTTCTTTTCAAGTTAGTCTGTAAAGAGTGGTGAGATGAGGAATTTTACATTATGATAAAATCTTCCAAAAACTTAAAGCGCTACTAAAAGCAAAATCTTTAATCTAAAACATTTTTGGAATTATTCGTCAAACTCGTATTTACAAAATATTTAGAGATTAATTTAAGAAAGAATTAGATTGATACATAAGTCTTGCACAAAAAATTTGAAAAATTCATAATCTTTCCCAGTACCAACATCTTTTGATTTGATACATAATAAATTGGCACATAAATTGTGCAACTTATTTCGTAACTTTTCTCTTTAACTGTGACGCATTTATTTTTGGACATAATGTAGATTAGATAGTAGGCTACAAACATGTGCAAACAGTTTAATTTTTAATAGCAAAATGGAGGAAATTTACTCATTTTTCGGAAGATGGTCAAATCCGAAATTTCAAGAGTCGGAAAACCAAAAATAAAGCCGTTCTCAGTCCAAATCTGACAAATCAAGCCGAAACTGTGTAGATGATTAGAGTTTCCTCTACCAACAACTGGGTACAGTTTCTGCTTGATATCTTTGATTCAGACTGAGAACGGCTTATTTTTGGTTTTCCGACCCTTGAAATTTTGAAGCTGACTGACCAGCTTCCGAAAAATGTGCAAATTTTCTCCATTTCAAAGCCAAAAATTGAACTGTTTGCGCATGTTTGTAGCCCACTATCTAATCTACCTTATGCCCGAAAATAAATGGGTCACAGTCAGAAAGAGAAAGGTTACAAAATAAGTAGCAAAACTTATGTGCCAACCTAATATTACGTAAATAAAGAACGCCCAGAAATTTTCAGAGCATGTAAATGCAGGATATGTTACTACATCGCAACGATACAAGCGTCTAAAGGAAAACACTGAGAAATGCTCTTTTCAATTCGCACGCTAAAATTACTGAAACGTCATCAAATTCTCATTCTAATTTTACATCTGTTTTTATGGTACATTTTATTATCTAAAAGAATTCCGCGCTGATCTGGCGTTTCTACGAGTAGTTATAATTTTCGAATTTTTTTCATTCAACATTTTGCTTTTAGGTCAAGAACTTTTCTGATATACATAATAAGATACTTCTGGTATACTTAGAAAAAGTACATGATTTTCTTCTTGAAATTTTATGTGAACGTTCTTAGAACGGATTTTATATTTTCGCAAGACTTACGTAACAACCTAATAAATCTTTTTTTAATCATTACCCTATACTGAATTTTTATTAGGCTGAGGCAAAAGTTCTTGCGTTTTTGACGAATAATGTACTTTTGGTCTTACGAGATTGAAGCCTTCCAAATTAATTTGCTGTGTAAAAAATTTTTGAACATTTTTTAGGCCAGCTAGCGTCCCCCGCGAATTTCCAGCACCAAACTCAAAATCGCAAATCTTGAATAGCTATTTTAGAGGCTTCATTCTTAGTGGACAACTCATGAAATGTTACGAATGAGCATCTTTTATGAAGCGAACGCTTTGCAGAATCTTTAGGGTACTGGACCTTAAGTTTAGGTTTAGTATTATGCAAGAACTTTTGCATCAACCTAACATTTTTAAACAGTGTTTATGTTGTTTTCCTAAAGTAGACGAAAAGCCTTTCAAATTTGCAAATGTGCTAAGCTTTCATAAACCCTCAAACATGGTAAAATGAAAAAAACATTGTATCTAACTAATTTAAAGTGGATGACAATTCTGCGAGTCTTGGATATCTAACAAATTTATGTGAACACAATAGCCTCGACGAAGGCAATCCGAAATTCATTGCTTACGTACATCCGTTACCATGGCAGAGAATATCTCGTTCGCCTTTTTCCACCAATCCATTCGTCTCGTCTCTCCGATTCCGCCGTCGAATTCCGGAATTCCCTTTGGCAAGCTCAGCGAAGGCTCCATTTGTGTTTCGCAATTCAAAGTGAGTTCAATGGAATTTTGAGTTTTCCACATTCTTCGTTCTTCGTCAGTCTGCTGCATGGTTCTCGACTGAATTACATAAATAGCAAAATTGTGAGTTGATATTACATGACATTTGAAAATCTCACAATACTTTACTTTTCGTTCACTACTTTCCAGAAAAATGCTAAGAATCTAAAAATAAAGTAATCCCATCAATAAAAAAGCAGTGAAAAGCCCCCTACCCCCCCCCCCCCCTGAAGAACCATTGCTTAGATTTATACACATTAATCTCCAAATTCGTTACATGCGGAATTTCTTTTTCGAGTAATGTTGACAGCTGGCAGTGCTATTGATCTTCCTTTCAGCTAGCAAAATGTACTTAGAGTTTATTAGCGTGTATTCAACTTCTCCTCTTTCATATACTCTGTACATAAATTTTGTTAAGAACTTTAGTTTGATGTTAAGATGTTCTCTTGACGTGCAAAAGTCTCCTCTCTCGACAACGGTTTTTTGAAAAATAAAAATTCGAAAAAAATCGAGTCATCGCAATCTTTCGTCGTGAAAATAGAACGAAAAGTTTTTTGTTATGAAAAAAGTATCTTTATTTAATTATGAATAAAGTATCCAGTAAAAGCGGACCGCAATTTCACTGAGCTGATTTGATCATTGCATTGTACATCATATAGCTCATCTCATCTATTCAGTTTCCGTAGAATATGATAATTCTGAAAAAAAAGGAAGAACTTAAACGAAAACTCATTTTTCACACCTCTAGTGTGTTTTATAGTCCATATATCGTCACAGAAACTAAGATCTGCTCTTGATTTTTTCGCTTCCGCTTTTTGCAGCACTGGTTAAGTAAGATTACATAAAATAAAATATACTGTGCACCAATAGCACACTTCTGATCTGAGGAAAACACTCATGATTCACTGTAGTAAAAACAACGAGAATCGCGTATACTTTTGTTTTTATTGTTCATCAGAGGGAATAGCAAAACTTACGCAAGGAGGCGTGACGCAAAAAAGTCGAAATAACAATGGTTCAGATTATCTGTGAAAATTATTATTACTATTGTAAAAATTCGGATTTGCTCGCACTTCATCCATTGAATCCGCTTGATATAGGCTTTTTGACAGCGAAAAAATAACAACGAATATTCAACTTATTCACAAAGAACAATGCTGGACTTCTTTAGAGAAAAATTTTCGATTCAAATTCATCCCATAACCTTTTGTATTACATAGCATATCGACCAAAAACAAGCTCAAACTTAACTTGGATGCAGTCGAAATTCAAATAAAATTTCAAAAAACATCAAGAGATGCCAGCAAAATGATGTTTGCATAGCAATAATGGCACCCCAATAAGAAGTTAAACTGAATTACCTCACAAAAGGAAACGTGTAACAGGGTTCAAATCTTTAGAACTCAAGCCCGGGAGGTCATGAGTTTTGCCTAGAACGAATTCTTGCCAAAAAATGACATATGAGGATAAGAGTGGGATATGGTAAAGCAAAAAAAGTATTTGGAAAAGTTACTCCCATGAGAAGATATAGATAGTTGAAGAAATGCGCTGAATTTCTGGCATTTTCGCGTACAATGCATGGCGCCATGATCACCTAGAGATCAAAATGACGTCATTAGCGTCAACGCTAGCAAATTGGCTTATTGTTTACTCTTCATTTTAGCCAAATAACCTTATTCGCCTCGTTTTCTGTGCGGCTATAACCATTAGCTATTCACACGCTTCGGCTCTCGGCTGACGAGCTCACCTCGGGCTGCTCGCGTCGTCAGTCGCTCTCTTTTCGCGCTCTCGTTCGATGACTCGGACGGATAGAGGACACACATGGTTGATATCAGAGAAAGAGAGAGCTTTTTCGCGTTGTTTACACCCGCAATGTGTCAAATTTATCGCTGTATGCTTGCTCGTTTTGCACATCAAACGCTATGCTATTTATCCTGTTCATTTCCTCTCTCCACATTTCGATATGCACATTCGAATTTTCAGAAAGGAAACATCAGGATGAGCATAGCTGAGGGACATTTTCGGTTTGTGTTTAGTAGCTGTGATGCCACACTATTCGTTTTATGTTCATGATGCAGAGGCATGAAGGAGTTACTCTCCTCGATGGAACCGGAGACTGACGCAAATGACGTGAAGGAGCTGAAACAAAGGACGCATATGCTTTGTGCGAGATTTCTTGGTGGAGCATGGAAAACTGTGCCATTGGACCATCTCCGAATAAGCAGAATAAAGTGAGCTACAGTTTAATAGATTTTAGTTTGATATAGTGTGCTTGCGGTGCCGCGACTTTGCGGTGAAACTTTGCGCGTGAGCGCCCAAAATGTCGGCGATCTGCGCGCGCAAGTGACCTGCACTACATGGGTAGCCAGTTTCATGTGCAAATTTTTTCGCAAAATTCTGGCACCGCAAGCAAACTTAATTGTGTGGAAATTCTGCTAGACGGTTGAACAAATCACCTGTACTAAAGTACTATGTTTAGAGGTGGCATGAGCAATATGCTTTTCCTATGTCGGCTATCAGAATCACATCGTCCTATACGCAATGAGCCCGACAAGGTGAGGTAAACATTTACGAACTTCTATCTAAATACTTATTTGTATGAAAATCCCAAGACCAATTCCTCGAATTGACTAGTTCTTCTGGGACATCGCTTTGCCTTTCTTGAGAGACATGGAAATGCACTAAAGCACAAAATTTGTGGTTATGTAGCACCGTTCGTGGTAGCAATCAAAAAAATTTTGAACTTTCCGAAGTTTGTGAGCATAGGTCTCGCAAAAGAAACTCTAGAAGGTTTGTTTCAATCAGTAGAGGGTTTCGGTTCACATATACCTTTACTATTCTTGAAATATGATATATAACTATAAACATGATTTTCCTGTACTTTCAACATTTTTGAAAATTAGGCCCAAAATCAAAGTAGATCTCTTTAAGATATTTAACGCTTTTATCTATCGAGTTTCAAAAAACGGAAAGATTAAATTTCCTTAGCGGCTTGTATTGCTGCCATGCTAACATCAACATTTGTCTCTAGCCCTTCAAGATTCAGCGACGCAAAAGGATTCGTCTCATCTGGAAGACTATCAATTTTGAAATTTTGCGCACGACTTATGTTCAAACCTAATGCTTGTAAATAGCGTTCAAAATGTGTTAGACATTTTCTTTACAGGTTTTGCTACGAGTATACTTCAACCCAGAAACTGAGAGCCATTTGGTAGCCGAGTCGGTCATATTTACGTTACTCTCAGAACGTCACCTTGGACCGAAGCTTTATGGAATTTTTAGCGGAGGTCGCTTAGAAGAATATATTCCTGTAAGTTGCGAACTCGTTAAAGGTTATTTTGTATTACACTTCGTGGTGCTTTTGAAAACTGAAAGAATGAAGACTGAGTTTATCTCTGTATTAAAAACTTGAAAAAAATTATTTACAACGAGTATCTAATGCAGTCTGAAAAATAAGGCAAATATCAACTCATACTTTTGCTGATTGGAATATTTCAATATTTCCGTACTTTCGATATAATTCAATTGAGTGTTGTCTAACAAAGAACGAATTTTCTAAAGCCATCGTGTAAATGGCAATTCTGAGCTGTAATTTTCACCATTTACATTTTACTACTTTCTTTCAAAGTGTTCACCATTCATTTCGACAAGGTGCTTTTAAGCGGCACTAAATTTCAAAATAGAATTTTTTTTCTAGAAAGCTAACTCTTTTCTCTCTTCTCGCTACCGTGTTCCACATGTTTCTTCCAAGGAAATGACGTCTAGAATTTGAATGATGTCGATTTTCCCATACATTGTTGCATCTTCTTTGAGACCGCCGGCTAGGTGAATGAAAGAATTCGCAATTTTCTGCATATTTTAAAGCGAAATCTGAATATTCTATTGCGTCCGCGAAGTCGAAGGTGTGGGCGATTCCAGCTTGCATCTTCTGCTGGAATACTGTAGCATCTGGACTGAGAAAGACTAACTATCGAGTCTCTAGGGGCATTTGAAATGCATCGGAAAAAGAAGAAGAATCACGAGCAGAGATACATGCAGACTTCTATCTGAAAGGAATAATCAAAATAATCACTGATTGCTCTATACAAAGATTTCTTTGAATTTTCAAACCTATTGAAAAAAAGTGGGGTAAAAAACCACAGAAAAAGACAAACGCAAAATGCATTGCATAAATGCATTTTGAGAATTTGGGAATATATTTTAAATTATTGCACTGTCAGCAGCGACGTTTTTCATCACATAAAAATTACTTTGGGAGATGTACAGATCTGCTAAGAAAAATACTATCTGTTTTCTCTCAAAAGTTGGGGGTTTATGTACTATATATCGTGTGGGTTCCTTGGCAATCCTGTACAGATATCTAGATTGTATCGGACAAATTCCGCTTAAGTTTGAGGGTGATAAACCTTTCGTAGATTGGTTAGGCCACTAAACTTAATCTAACTTTGAAAAACTCGTTTGAAAAAATACTGTTCTCTCATTTTTTGGACAAAAAAAAACTCAAACTTATCCCCTCCAACTGCTTTTCTAGTGATTTTAATCTAATATCCGTTTGACATTTTTTCGGTGTACACCAGACGCCGCTGATCCGTTTTGTTTACATATCACACTACCTTCAAAAGAATGTGTCTCACAAAAATTGCATAAGGTCTTATTAGAATTGATGATTAATTACTCAGTTATACTCGCTATCTTCTGTTTATAGTATTGAAACGTCAGATGTTTCGAAGGAATTTATTTTTCCATACCACTAACAGACAAGTACTACATATAATCACGTTACCCGGTTCTTTCTTCATAAGTTCAGATAATGAGAATTTGAATCCCAAACATATAATTTCACTGCTTGTGTATGTTAAAAATTCAATTAAATTCTTATGAACTTATGGAGATTCTTTTAGTTTTCCCTCCAATGTTACTTAACTAGAGCCACGAATTAGCCAAGCACAAAGCTTTAAGTAAAAAATTTAGTCTCGCCCGTTGACTTGTCGAGAGATCGCATTGCCAACAATGTCGTCAAAAATCGCTAAGCGATTATCCAAAGTTCACCAGTTGGAAGTTCCCATATGGAAGGAACCTGACTATCTCTGTGATGCCTTGAACCGGTTAGTTTGGTGCTTTTCTAGCAAACGAAAATAAATTAAATATTCATAGATGGCTCTGTCAGCTAATGAGTACGCCACACGGAGAAAACACCATCACTCTTCCAAGTAAATATTCACAATGGGCACCGGCCCAACTCACTTGCGACCACATTGCTAGGGAGCTCGACTTTTTGCGGTAGGTGATCTGAATTTATTCTTAATGCCTTCCACATGATGATAGTACAGTAATGTTCCATACAGTAGGGGACCACGTCATATTTCACCAAATGTGGCAGAACTCCCAATTCGCGTGCGCATCTTTTGGCGCGAGAGCGCCATACTACACTAAAATGCTTGTGCGAGTATATGAACTTACACCTTCACAAAACTCTAATACAAGGATCGTGATGATGACGTTAGATGCCACTTGACTATCATATGTGCAGCAGAAAGGAAACATATTCATGATAGATATGAATGAGTGTGGCCGTTTCAGTAGCGATACTCCCAAATCTCGCGCTCCAGCTCCGATGGTTGCGCGGCTTTTCAGCGCTTTTTGGCCCATTTCGGCGTGTTTGTGCGATTTTTGGTGAAGTATGGTTCCTTAGGCTGGGTTCATACTGATCTGTAATTTCCAGAACAATTTCAGCATAGACACAGTGCTGTGCCGGAACTGTTCCAGAAATTACGGACCAGTATGAACCATAGGAAGGTTCAAGATAGAGAAAAACAGCAGCTTTAAACTGCGTACGGTCTCGCAGCGATAGGTGCCGTACGGTTATGTTACCATGCTGTTGTCCTATAGACGAAAATCCTCTCATCACCTACTATACAGTACAAAATAACTCGTTTTAGGACAATGATAAGCAAGAGCAAGAGCCCTGTCACTTTCTGCCACAATGATCTCCAGGAAGGTAAAGTGTGATCTAAAAGTTCAACAAAAATATTAGAAAAACCATTCAGGAAACATCCTTCTTCCCAAAGGCTCATCTGGAAATATTAGGCTACCTTCGTTAAGCGATGATTCGCCTGGTGGTCTCAGTCTAACCGCTTTTAACCCAGCTGATCCTCGATTAGTTCTAATAGATTTTGAATATGCTAGTTACAATTACAGGTAAGAGAATTTTTCCGCATTTGCCTGTTGAAATACACTACTCTACAGGGGATTCGACTTTGCAAATCACTTTGTTGAATATTCCATAGATTACGATGTTCACGAACCTCCTTACTATAAAATATATCCAGAGAATTTTCCAGAAGAACATCAGGTAAGTGACATCTTGCAGTTTGAATTATTCGCTATTTATACTAGTTTTGCAGTTAGTTGAATTTTTCGTAAACTATCTTCGAGAATTTGGACAAACTCCTGAAAACAAGCTTGAAGAAAAAGCGGAGGAACTTGTTAAGGTTAGTTGAGCATGTCAGTAAAGCTTTTAGAAACTTTTGTTGCGAAAAATGGCGCCACTGCTTCGCTCTCATCGTCTGCGTCTCACGTAATTACATAATCTAAAAAATACACAGTGGCATCCTTCCGATGGCTCAATACATTGCCTGTCTGGGGACAATCTCGATACTTGGATTTAGCGGTTTAGTTGCTTATGGATTATATTTTAGGAAACGCTTCCCTTCGTTCCCGTTTCGCACTTTTTCTGGGGAGTTTGGGGTCTGCTACAAGTAGAATTGTCTCCGGTCGGATTTGGGTTTGCGGTAAGATATTTTGCAAATATTTCCCCAGAATCCTTCATCATTTTCGCGTTCAGGAATACGGGCGTGACAGATTAGGACTATACTTTCAACATCGTCATCTACTGGACATGTTTGACTCTGACCAAAATGTGCAATAATAATAGTTTGATCTGGCAAATCTCGGTGCAATAAACATGAGCATTGTCAGAGCATGGGATGAGAAAGAAACCTCAACTTCAAAATGGTGTGAGTGTGGACAAAAGTTATCTGAGAGATTACTAATGCACAATATGGGGAGGGAGGGCGGGGGGGGGGGGCTAAAGACATCTGCAAGAGGTTTGCTGAAACAGGTGAGGATCAGTCAGTATGCAACCCTCTCACAAGTCAAAATAACTGCCGTGAAGTGTCCTTCGCATACATTAAACTACGCGAAATCGTGTGACTACTGCAGGCTAACTGTATTGAGAAGTTGACAATATTCCATGTGATGTAAGTTCAAGTAATATAATAAAAATGTAAAGTAAGGTCGTTTGTAAATCGTGGCGACGGATTTGACTGCGGTCCTTGCGCCTGCAGGAACAGAAAGCACTCAGACAAAACCATCTCAACGATCAGCTCAGTCTCTTCCAATGAAATACTGTGAAGTGTAAGCAGAAGAACCACTGAGATGAAAACCCAGAGAATGCGGTTGCCGGAAGGTGCGTGCGTGTCGCGCGCGGTCGCGCCATCGTCACGATTTTTTGAATGCCCCATATCTGCATTCAGAACGATAAAAGTTTGTGTACCACGACTATTGTTAGTAACGCTGTAATTCCTTCAAGAGCGAACATCTGCACCATTGAATACCAAAATTAGGGAATGGTTGGAATATCTGACCTCTTCCTTGACACATCATGAAATCAAGAATGATGTCAATACTGTTGATTTTGTCGGCGGCCATGATTGGTATGGGTGATTGGTTACGTCACGTAACCCCAAAATGAATTTAAAAAAGACGAGTGCATTACCGTAATTAAAGAGTTATCACCGTATCAAAGCCTCTGCGGTTTTGATTGCCAAAGTACAAACAGCATGGAGAGCAAAATCGTACCGTCACATTCTGCACAACTTGACCGCGAGCGGTCAGATCCCTCTACTGACGTCGAACAAGGTGAGACATGTTCTAGCTCTTTGCCAGTCTCATGCTCAACTCACAAGGGATGTCAAGTGACTAAGAATCGCGTTTCGAGATAAGACACATGTATTTGGAATCAGCTTCGAACCTGATTCCAAATATGCTGTTCCTAGCCGCGGCGCATTATTCTGGAGGAAGTTATGAACTTTTTTCTGCCCGAAATTGCCATATCAATTCATATGGTAAGGCTGCCTGTAGATGGAAGTCTGCCTAAAGAGGGTGCTGGCTGGGTGGGGTACTAAACCTCATTAGATTGGTCTTTTGTAATTGGCAAGAGACTTCAGCAGTCAATTAGCACTTAGGTGATGATACCGTAATGCCATTAGGTCAAAGAGTATGCAAATTTTGCACAGAAGAAAATCGATAACTCGCTTCAAAATGACGTGCCGCAGCTAGGAATAGCATATTTGGAATCAGCGTCTGAAGCTGATTCCAAATATATGTGTCTCATCTTGGAACGCGATTCTAAGTTACCTGACATCCCTTGTCAGTTTGAATCGTTACAGTAACAAGGGCTCAGCAAGTAATTACTCCAAACATACATTTTTGGTTGCAGCTCTGAAGGCGGCGTTGGAGCCGAAACGTTAGCCAAATTATAAATTGTCACCATTTTACCATTCTCGACCGTCATTCAACAACAAATCGTCAGATATTCAAATTAAAAAAGATTCATAAAAGATCGAACTTGGAGGACATCAATTCTGTTCTGCGTATCTGTTAAAAGGCTTTACGGGCGAAGTACTCCACCACGGCCGATAATTGTCATACCATATGCCTACCGTATTCCCATGGATTATGATTACATTTCAAGTAGTTCGAAATCATTTCAGAAGATTTCTCTCATCAAGCTGAGTTTGTATTCCGCTCGCAGATCTTATTGTTAAAAATACCTTTTCTGTGAGAAATATGGTCAAACCCCTCAGCTGTATAAGGTTTACTTGGACTCAATTACATGCACATTAGTTAAATAGAGTTTAAGGACCATCTCTTGATTGTTTGTAAAAATTTTATTTTCGAGTACCAACTGGAAAAACTTTCAGGAATTATACGGTCACTATGGCTGAAATTTTTGCTGTCTAAACTATTGCCACCCGAGCTCATCGCTTCTGATTAGGGGTTTATTTACAAGTGTGTTCTGATTTTTTCATACTGAATTAGCGCTCCGTGATGGTTATAGATTATACAGCTGTTCAACAATTTACAAGTTTTGACCATTTTTACAAGTTTTGACCATTCTTGGATACTTCATATGCATTCTTCTAGCCATTTATTTTCAGATTTGTCATCACTGTAGTCAGTTGACCATAAATTACAACATCCACTTCCATGTTCATCTCATCATTTTTATAGTAAGGAGTTGAGCAGTTATGTGGAGTGTTATACAAATCATCTCTTGTCTGTCGAGAGACAAGTATAGTAAAAATGATTAATTGCACATGATTTGAGTGAGATCTTAATTAGCAGTTGTTTACAGTCAAGTTGGTCCTTGAATCATCTTCTTCGTCAGATGTATACGCATTCCCAACAAAAGAGGATTTAGAAAGGGACATAATTCTTTGGTTTGTCAAGAAGGGCTGCACAATGTGAAAAGGATTTGAAGTGTTTAGACGTGAAATAAAGTGAACTTCGATCTATTTCAAATAACTGTTTACAACATTCCACACAAAATCTGTCATTCAAGTTCTTTTCTGTACTTTATGTAGTAAAGAAGAATTATGCTTGCGTAAGTGTTGACGTTTCCAGACATGCACAGTTCACTTTGCTTGTAAATCAAGTTTTCAGTTCTTAGCACAGAATTTGAGGTACTGTTTGACCTGGTATTCGGAGGAAAGCAGAGTGGAAAGCATTAATCTGTCGTCATTGCACTTTAGCCTATGTGGTTTATTTGCATATTCCTTTGACAACACTCTAATGGCAATCTGGTCCTTTAAAAACTTTCCAAGTTCACTAGAACAATCGTATTTCTAGCAAAAAATGAAGAGGGAAAAGTGAAAGTGGTGCAATGTTACTATAGAGTATGTTTAGATAAATTACATGGAGCTATGTGTTGACAATCTATTAGGGTGATCCAAAAGTAATGGGGCACCTAGAGAATAATTGCAGTTTTCTCAAATAGAAAAGCTGATTGGAAGTTCAAGTTTTGGCAGATGTTAGTACATGACAAAACCTTCTGATCGAGGCCTATAGTTGAGCATTGTCACGTGGCGTTATTTTTACAAGCGCTTGAAATTAAAGCTCATCACTTCAAGTAATTTTGAACTTTGAGCAGCAGCGCCGCAGTAGAACAAGTGAGCCTACCAAGGATATCTGCGCAGCAATGGGTGAGGGGACTGTCACCAAATCCACGGTAGCTCGAGGGTCCCAAGGCTTCAGAACAGAAAATATAGCAGGTGCTGCAAGGTGCTGTCAAGATAATCTGCGAAGGACACTTTACACAAGAGCGTTCAAATTGCTGGTTGTTCATAGCTAATCAGAAAGAGATCTTGAAGAATGTTCACAAAAATCAAGGTGCCCCACTACTTTTGGAACACCCTAATAATTTCTTGTCTTCAAACTTCGCCTATAGTATATTTGTATGCTGGAAAATGCTAAGTGCCTTAGCGGTGAAGTGTTTATATCAAACTGAAACGGTGATTATTATTAAATTTGCACACCAGCTGTTTTGCTGAGATGTGTTTCTAACAATGGGCAGACAACTTTAGACAGTATGGGTATTCGCAGTATTCTTTTGGCTTTCATGAAATTTGGCTTTCTTTGATGTGTTTCTTTCTTGCTGAGCAAATGATCTCTTGGCATCTTAGGAAGACAACCGATAAGTGCACATTTGGGTCGAAATTGTTGGAAAGGTGTGGTTTGTGTTTTGTGACGTAGTGCATCAAAAGTATCTTTAAGTGTATGAACGAATTCAGGGAAAGAAGTTATTTAAAATTGAATTTGACTCGATTGTGCACGAAATACGAGGTCTTGAAGTCAAACAGGTCTTCATGCTTCGGAAATCATCTGACCTATTAGTGAAAATTCAATTTGATGAAAAATAATACGGTCGCATTAACAGATTGTAAAGAGATGTATGTCACAAGAATCACCTCTTAAACGCTAATTTCAAATCCACTATCCGAAAGAATTTATACGCGAGGAGACATACTAAGGTCCTTATGAATAATGTGCTTGAAAGTCCATCCTATAACTGAAAACAGTTGCCAGAAACGGTGCAATTTTAGACAGCGAATGGGGAGGTCTGACACTGAATACTTGCTAGAATTGGATTTTTAAACACTAACAGGTTCTTCTCTACACATTCTGAAACGTTTAGAGTTGATGAAAACAATTTGGAATCTGCTTATTTAGACGCAGCGAATAGTATACGTTCTTGGCATGAGAGCTCTACATTTTAAAAATTTTAATTTTGAGCATCGTAACCATGCTGATGACCTTAAAAGATGAATTAATGCACGTTTTACTTCAGAACCCCCGTGCGACTTGGTATTCTTTCCTATTAAGCTGTGAGTTACTTACCCTTCTCGATTTTGATCTACCTACGGTACTGTTTGCCTACAAATCAACCTGGGACAAGACTGTTTTGCAACGCAGGGGTGTAGCACTTGGGAGCACGTTTCCTTTCTCGAATACACTGTAAAGTGTGCTTGTTTCGATTTGCGTACGTTGTGTGCAATCATACACAAAAACTGGATAAGTAATACGCGATCAGGCCAACAAAACATCGAGAATTCTAAGTGTGAACCCCGCGTAACCCCGCGTAGAACGCTGTGTAAGTGTAACTGATCTCGCTGACGCCTTGAGGTCATCGGGCCGAATAAACTTTGATGAAATGGAAACTGTAAATAAAGTACGAGTAAATAAAGATAGTCAGCAAGAATCTTGCTCACCTATTTATTCTATCACGCTACTTTTATGCAGCCAACCTTGCCATCACGTGCATAAATCGTGACAAAACCTATGAGAGAAACTGAAGTAAAAAAAGTGCCGAAAAAGACAGTGGTATACGGTGACCCTTTCATCTCAGGAAACATTTTCTTCCTTGCTGTTTGTGCAAAATTTTTGCGGAATCTTCAACATAATGCTATTGGTCTCTCGAGAAGATGTGCAAATGTTTATTTATCTAAACTTTTTCGATAATGACGAAGGTTAAGCTAACAGCTAACCGCTCTCTTGGTTCATTTGTTCTTGGTCTCTGGTTGATTTTCAAATATTTTCAAAGTAGATTTTACGATTTACGATTTACGATTTTACGATTTTATTTTATTTTTTTTTGAACATACATTATCTGATTGCACAGATGTATTTGAGATTTTCTTATATTTTTTTTTCACTTGTATGTGGAAGTTTTGTATGGAATTACCTTTCGAAACAAATTGAGGGTCGATTAGGTTATTCGCTTATGAGTTTTATGAGGCTTACTTTTGTTCTTTGCATTTCAGCAAGAAACTGATCTAACAAAATCGTTCCAAAATAATCCTGTGAAGCCCATAAGATCGAAGTTCACGAGCAGCCCATCTATTTTCGTTTTTCGCTCCGTTCATTTTGTAAAAAGCACACATTTTGCCCCTTCTCCTTCTCACTATGCGTGGGATTGGAGCGCAACGGAAGTCGAAGGTTACATTGACGAATAGATATTGGTGTTGACTCGTTGCGGCTTCACGTAAAGGTTGTGCTCTTTACAAACCGGACGTACAAACAGTGTCCGACCCCGGAGTCGATAGCAAACGAATGGCATGACCTATTGAACTCTGAATTAACACTACTAGTTCTGTTTTTTCTGAGAGAAATGCAGAAAAAGCTGGCTGAGCTGCACGGGTCGAGAAAGCAGGGGTGTCTGGGAAGTTGAGGACTTTTGAATGCACGAAACTGTGGTGGAAGCTTTTCCTGTCCTAGCCTTTATGTATGTAAATGAAAATACATTAACAGTAACTTCGCAAGAAGCTTTCATTTCTTTTAACCTTTAAAAATGAAATGGCATTCCAAACACTTTCTTTCATCCAAGCTTTCCGATTGCTTGGTCAACACAGTTCTCTAGCAGTTCATATTTGCTGAAACTCAAACAGTTTGCTTTTTCCAAGTGTAAATAGATGTCGGCTGCAAAGTTTTATCTATAAACAGTATTTTTCTATGCAAAATGAAAAAATGCAGGATTAAATGTGAATATATTAGTCATTACATAAAAACAGCCAAGCCAGCCAATCAGCACTTTTCTCTTACATGGATTACCGTAACTGTATCGCTAACTCGTGTAGTATTAAAATGAAAGCACTTTTCGGAAATTCTTTTTATTTTCTACGAAACTACTGATTTATTATGCATTTATCAACGTTTTTCGGAAATCAAGCAAGTTTTTGCAGTGTAAATTACATAGAATCGAATAGTATGAAGACAAATTTGTTATTCTCTTTCTTGGATCACCGTAACTGTATAGCTAAACTCGTGTGGTATTGAGTTGAAAGCATTTTTCAGATATTCTTTCTATTTTCTACGAAAATTCTGACTATAGTATGCATTTTGAATATGCTACATTGTTTCCGAAGATTTTCGCCTATAATACAAAATCAAATTAACTTACAATTTTGTGAAAGTTCAAACCAGTACAGTACTTCTATAACTGGATCTATTTCTGACCGATTTCGCAACTACTACTGTAATATTTGACCTTAAAAGAAAGGCACTGTCCCCTCGTCATCAGTGGTCTATTTCGAAATGAATTACTAACAATCACGGCTATAGACAAGGTGACAAAAGGAATACACTGCCGATCATCTTGACGTAAACAACGAGACCATACATTGGCACGAGAAAACCGGAAAGGACTCCATCTTTGGTTGAGGAACCCTCGTTGTTCCGTAGAAAACAAAGCAATCACGTTCAATAACAACAAATAAGCCGTAATTCGTGTTAAATCCCGAATTTTTAGAAATGACGTGATTCAAATTAGAGCAATGATCTTTGAACTGCGCGGAAGTAAATAGTTGCCTGCTGTCGAAAGAGACTTGACGACCTTTGTAAGATGGGGCCCCGTTACTCTCACTGAAAGCGACCAATTCGCTTTTTCTTGTGAAGTTCAGAAAACAAAATCACCATAGGGGATACTGTAGCTAAGAAATCAAGCAGTACTGTACAGTATTCCCAAAATCATGCAAAGAAAATATTGCTGCCTTTAAATGTTTGTTTATCTCATTCTCGACGAGTCTGAAGCACTAAAGTTTGTTTGACTACATTGTTAAGAGTTTATAGTCAGTGTATATTTACCAAAGGATATGGTTGCGTGTTTTCCTCTCAAGGTATAACTCTAGCCTCAAAGTTTACGATATTCTTTGAGCCTTTGCGCGGATTCCGAGTTCAAGGTGAAGAGCGAGGCTTATATCATTGTTGATGAACTGGAAACTGAAGAAACAAGCTCGAGGTCATAAGCCTTGGAACCATGTCAAGTGGATACACTTGTTGAATACAGTATGATATTGAACAGAGGCTTGCAAACGGTTTGCAGATGAATGCTTGACATTATGAGCCATCTCGAAATCCGAAAGTGCAAATTTTATCTTTTGGAGAAATTTGGATATTCACAAGTGTCATTTCTTACTCTAGATGACATGAGGGATATTTACAACTCTATATGCATCGAATTTATACAAACTTCAAAAATCTAGAAGCTTATACATATGAGCTCACACTAAAGCATACTCCATAAAAGCTTCTTTTATAACTAATAAATAAATCATTAGACCAGAATATCAAACTTAAGTAAAAAAGTGAATTACAAACCCCATAGTATCCCTTTTAACCCCGAATTACCGTTACTCGAAAAAGACAAAAAATTCATCCATAATCATTCAAATTCAAATGTGAGGTAAAGAATTTGTCATTGCCATACAAATCTCACTGTTAAGCTAGAAACTCCAAAAAGTGCTGTCATCGAGAGATAGGCTCATAATTATCGTAGAAAATAGCTCTACAATATGAAAAGGGTAGTAAGGGCATTGTTAGAAAAAGAGAAAGAATGGGGGAGGATATACTTGCGTGAAAATGACGTAAGTTTAATGTTTGTCCAGGCTTACAATCGCTTTAAAAATGGAAGATTATTTCCTCTTGGATACCACACGTGGCCTTCAGAATTAACAGTTCTTAAGAAAGACAGAAATATATATAAAACAATTTTTATAGCTAGGGTCACTCCAGACGAGATTCGCAAATACATCGAGATTTCGTAAATTTTCAGCTCGAACCTAACTGACTGAAGAACGTCTTCAGAAGCTCAACTCCAACCTTGACATCAGGTCATAAGCACAGTCTTTCGTGATGCAAATTTCATTTACCCAAGACTAATACAAGTTTCAGAATACAACCAGATTAGACTTCACCCGGACTAAACACACTTTCAACACACTAGATCTTGACCGAGAGCTTTTCTGACAAGTACGATTTGTGTTTGTTCAAAAAGAGTCTGTTTCTGTATGTGTGTGTGAGAGTGTATGTGCGATGGGGTATTCTCTGTGTGTGTTGTGTGTGTCTTGGCCTCCGGTCCCGCCCCGCTCTCTTACTGTCGTCTAACTACGCGCAGGGGCAATATATAAGGAGGTGATCGAGGTGGCGACACGCTGATCATGCTCTCTCCGATTCTCATCTGCATCATCGCGACGGCGGCTGTCGTCGTCGCCCAACCGGGTACGTTTATCACTTTACTATCGTTTGTCGTATTAGTTCGCAGAGTTGATTCCCACGTTTTTCTCTTGAATGCACCGTCCACTCAAGGCTATAAGACTGTTGTATAATAGCGAGATCCCTAACTAGGCATAGTTCAAATCGCGCTGAGGAAGAATAATTCCAAATGGAGAAAATCGTTCCAGAATTTAATCGGCCCAGGCGGCTCCACCCATCAGCGTGGGTGGTCTAAAGACAAAGGGTCCAAAAAATCGGGCTTCAATGTACCTAGGGTTGTCATAAATCCGCCCTTCATTGTGATTATCAGATTTCCGACATTTCTATCTACCCTGAAGGCAGCTTTTGAGTCCATATCTTCAAATCACCCATATTGTGGGCGGTGCGACCTCTACCACTTCTAGCTTCTGGAGCGATTTTCTCGCTTCGGATTTCATCTTTTGCAGTGGGAGTTGGGTAAGCATCAAAATCTCATAATCCTCAACTTGGATGGACTATGCCTTTAATTCAACAAGTCGTTGCGAAACTCCACTCTTTACTACTTTACTACGGTAACGCTCTTTGGCTGTAAGATCCCGCTTGCAGGGCCGAAGATGATCGACGAGACGACACGGTGGAGCCAGTGCAAAGATGTGAACCAGTCAATTTACGACTTTCAGGTGCAAATGAGAATTTGCTGAAATGTTGCGCAGTGATCATCTTTGCTAAATTTCAGATGGAAACTCTTCAAGGGCAATTTACAGACCTTTCACAGTACAAGGGACAAGTGTTGCTAATCATCAATGTTGCAACATTCTGTGGTGAGTTGTTAGAATCCCAGAACTTCTTAATCAAGATCTTGGCGTCTTTTTTGGAAACCATTAGTGTACAATTAACTTTTGCGATTCAACCTTGCTCCAAAGTTTTCTCGTAATTAAGGTCTTTCGTAGTTACAAGGTCCTCAATGATCTCATGTCAATGTAGAATGTAAACACTTCATCCATCAGCAAGACCTCTTGACTTGTAACAAACAAGTTTATACAAATTCAGTTTTACTTAATATCTGGTTTTAGCTTACACTCAACAGTACACTGACTTCAATCCGCTCATTGAGAAAAATATGAATGGTGGCTTTACCATTTTGGCCTTCCCTTGCAATCAATTCTACCTTCAGGTAAAAATATTTGAACAGTACCGTATGAATCTTGGAAAATTCACGGATTTAACAAAAACCCCCTTCCAGGAGCCAGCAGAAAATCACGAGCTCATGAATGGAATCATGTATGTAAGGCCCGGAAATGGATGGAAGCCACACCAGAATCTTCACATCTATGGAAAGATTGATGTGAACGGAGAGAACCACCACCCTCTATACGAATTCCTTAAGGTAAGATCACTTCAAAGATTAAACATTCTGATAAATAAGTCAATGATCAATGATCAATTGAATCAAGTTAGTGTGGAGGATTCCAGTCTTGTCGTTCTTCTTCGTCATGCTTCCGTAGAACGCCTTGAATGAAGGTGGTGAAGAAAGGGGGGGGGGGGGCATTCTTTAACCAGTTTTACATGAAGAAAGGGGTTAAGAAAGTGAATAGCGTGGGATCGTTGGTCTAACCTACTGAACTGAAAACTTTATCTCTCACGACTATGTTTTAGAAATCGGACTAGGCTGTTTTCTATAGAATTTCTTTTGAAGGAGAGCTGCCCACAAACTGTGGAGAAGATTGGAAAGACTGATGAGCTTATGTACAATCCTATCAGAGCAAACGATATTACATGGAACTTTGAGAAATTCCTTATCGATAGACAAGTAAGTCTTATAAATTTCACATATTAATAAAAAAAATCATTTTTTTCTAAAATTCCAGGGTCGTCCCCGCTTCCGCTTCCATCCCACAGCCTGGAGCCACGGTGACGTTGTGCAGCCGTTCATTGACCAACTCATGAACGAAAGCTCATGAAAACTGCTCCAGAACTAAAAAAATCCTTATCTACGCTTCTTAACCCATCTCCTCATTAAAAAGCGTTAATTGTAATTAGAGCGGGCCAAATCATAGAGTTCTGCCTCAAAGATAACGTACAATTGATCTTGACGACAATCAACAATCCTCCTCACAATGTAGTGTATATGTGTTATCAACATTTTCGGGTTGTACATTCTGTCCTTTCTTCGTCTAAGTAAGTTTTTTTCGTTCCCAATCCACATTGTTGTTGTTCAAATACGATAGCGATTTCGATAGCTGTATATGAGTAGATTGGAGAATGCAAAATTTGTCAGATTTCTGTGTTTTGTTGAGCGAGCAGCCGTAGAAGAAGAAAATAACGAAAGATGTCTAAATTATGCCACTTACAGTAATTTCGACACCAAAACATGATTGGTTGTCAACTTCAACTATAATTCTAACAAAGATTGATGATCGAATCAGTAGTCATGATTGAGTACAGATAATATCACTTTCTTAAAATTGTGAAAGTGACTTGTTTTCACTTGTGAAAGAGTGCAACAATATTCAGATTTTTTTCAGTTATCCCTTTTTCCAGAAACTTCGAGCTTGTGGGCCCACCAAAAAGTTGGACAGAACTCAAAAATTTTGTCGAAGGGCGTGGGTAAGAACAGGCTCGACCCGAGAAAAAAATCTGTGCTCTTTACCCCCCCCCCCCTCCCGGCAGTAACTGCGTATCGCCCATAGGTGCGGTAGGGGTGCAGGGTCCCCTCCAGGTGAAGGGGGCTTTGGCTATTTCTGACGAGAAAAGTGAAGGGGTAACTAGGCTTGAGATGAATGCAAGCTTACATGTCTAGCGGGAGCGAAATGAATGAAAATAAGTGGTACAGAGGTGTAACACAAAGATTTTCTCAATACTTAGGCTTTGGAAGGTCATCCAACAGAGCCTTTTATGAAGCAGGAAAGCTTTATGTTTTATCAGTCGACATACCATTCGAAAGCTTGAAGCATACAGAATCGATGCAGACCGTCTCTTTTTTTTCAGCTCTCCTGTGATCAGCTATAAAAAAGCATATCTAGTTTCAGCATCAGCTGATTTTATGCGATCACTTGTCGCTCCATAAAAGAAAGAGGAAAGCCAGAAAAAAAGACGGTCTACGTTTACTGGCAAAGTCTTGCTCTGTAATAGGGTTAACTGGGCATTTTCAATCACTCTTTGCATAAAAATTTCTTCACAAAAACACACCTGTTTTTAGCTAAAATGCCATGCTGAGTAGAGGGGAGCTAGAGAAAAAGAGAGTCTACGTTGAATCCTTTTTTGTGGGCTTTCTAATGGTATATAGGTTGTTGGGTGAAAAAACTTGTAGCTTTTCAAAAATGAGGTGGAGATATTCAATACTAAGTTGTTCCACCCCGCTCCGGCTTTGTATGAGTCGCCGGAGTAAGACTTATTTGGACTGGAATAGCTTTGTGCACCAACAATTTGTATACCACTCGATAGCTAAGAACACGAGGAATTAACATAGACCGTCTCTTTTTTCCTAGCTTTCCTGTGAAGCGAGATACGAGAAGTTTTATCTAACTACACTATCAGACAATTCTGGGTAATTATCTTTTCAAAACCAAGAAGGTTTTTTTCGAAATTTAATATATGATTCGAAAGCTTGAGAAACGAGTAGTCTAGCTGCTTATTTATTTGTTATTATTCTCTCTAGTAAAAGGAGATATGGTACGTTATCAGTAAACATGCATCCATCACTAGCTAGTCCAGATTTTCTACTCTTACTCAACTCTTTCTTGCGACAGTGCATATTCATTGATACAATGTTAATTTTTCAAAGGATAAAGCATCCTCTTAATTTTTGATTATGTTTCGTTATCAGTTCCACTCTGAGTGCGCAGAAGGTCTCAAACATGCATTTTTTCAGCAAAACGCTGTTGCTTCGATACTCTCTTGCAGTGTTGATGTCTGAAGAGAAGAGCATCTGGCGTTTCCTTTCCCAACAAAAAGTGCCGTTGTAGTAGCTATTTGATTCTGCCGTTATGCCTTGATTCTAGTTTCAACCTCAGATGAAAATGGGTCAGCCAGATGTCGTGAAAAAGTGAAGGGGGTCAAAGAAATTTCTCCACCTATCGCATCTGTGGTCGCCTACACTCAAAAAGAAGTTATGGTGGGAGCTACTGAAGTGCGGTTCATAATTATACGAACACCTCAAACAACACCTTATTTTTCATTCAAGATTGCAATCATTTGAGTCCAAATTTTTTGTAGAGTTACAGTAGCAAAGTCTGACATATCTGCTACACACTGAACCCAGTGCAGCTCAAAAAGAGGATTGTACTTTTTTCAAATGGCTCTAAATGCTTTTGAAGTGATTGCACTCCAAAAACATCCGTTCTTCTGTGCTTTACGCGCTCTAATTAGCTTTTATCAAAGCTATGAGATAATATAAGCTCTTTCGATAGGTATTTCGTTTGACGCTTGGAAAATCTTTGCGTTTTCGTGTCGTTTTTCAACCAAGTTTCGACCTTGCCCCAGAGTTAGCACAATTTCGAGCCTCAAAACTCAGCTTCAGAAGCCCTACAATGAAGTAAGCAAATAGTATGTAGAAGTTCACGAGACTGTGTATCTGGCTAGAAAAAATCAGCAGCGTTGAGCGTTTGTTTTGGCTACGCAGACGTCATTTCACCAAAACCACTGTTTTTACTATTGCAATCACAACTTTATTTGGTTTTTTGCTCCATAGCTTCAAGATCAGTTCTACAAAAATGCAAAAACGTTGGCACGGATACATCATCATGCAAAGAATGCAGCTGCTTCATATCAAATGTTTGCGCGAGAGAGAAGCTGAGTTTTGAGGCTCGAAATCGTGCTAACTCTATGGTAAGGTTGGAACTTGGTTGAAAAACGGCACGAAAACGCATAGATCTTCCAAGCGTCAAAGAAAATATCTATCGAAAGAGCTGATTTTATCTCATAGCCTTGCTGCAAGCTGATTAGAGTGCGTAAACCACAGAAGAACGTATGCTTTTGGAGCGCAATCACTCCAAAAGCAATTAGAGCCATTTGAAAGAAGTACGATCCTCTTTTTGAGCTGCACTGGGTTCAATGTGTAGCAGATATGTTAGACTTTGTTACTGTAACTCTACAAAAAATTTGGACTCAAATGATTGCAATCTTGAATGAAAAATGACCTTTTGTTTGAGGTGTTCGTATAATTATGAACCGCTGAAATCGCATTAGGCGCAAAAACACTCCTAAGTTTGACATCGATTTCCATTCTTGTGGATCGTATACCGTTTTTGGTTGTGCTCTATCGCGTGGTACCAACAGCTTTTTGAGTTTCTTCCAAAAAGTCCAAAAATTTTCAAAATTTGGAGTGTTCGTATAATTATGAACCGCACTTTAGTCTGAATTCTTGTCGGGTTCACAAACTGGATATTTACCCAATCAATCTGCAGTCCGATTTTTTACTCCGATTAATGCCTTTGACAATCTGCTTCATATACTCAGATAATCGCCGGGGGCAGGCGGTCCGCAAACTCGCGCTTTTCTGCAGGCGGTCAGCAGAATTTTGGGGCGTGGCCAAACCTTTAGCGGGCGGCACTTCCCTCACCTCGCATATTCTGCCAGCGGGCAGCAATACAGCATTTCTTCCAAGCGCTCGGCAAATAATTTCTTTCAGCGAGCGCTGGCCAAACTTTCAGCAAGCGTTCGGACTCTTTTTACGCATTTTCGGGCGTACGTCGAGCACAGGTAAAACTCTGTGTGGCAGAGCTGTCACCGTTGGTTTAATTACTCAAGTTTGAGATACTTTCTCTCAGCGGAAAGTACCTGAGGGCTGCGCGGTCCTCCACAAAGGACCGTGCGGCCTTCGAAAATTTTGCATATTCTCACGGAAAGTCCGCGAGAATGCGGCCACTGCGCCGCAGCTAATTTATAAGGAAACCGCGATTGTTCTCCAAGCATTCGTCCAAAATTTCGCTAAAATTATTCCAAATTTCTGCAAGCGGACCCAAGAAATCAGCGAACTATTTTTTCGGTGCACGCTTGCTCAAAATTCGCATGGCCGCCTGCCCCCGGCGATTATCTGAGTAGCTGCTCGAAAAAGAGCAGGAAGTTTGCAAACCTTTTCCAATTCAGCAGTGCCGCAACTCCAAGGGGGCCAACACCGTAGGCAGTATAGTGTCATCTTGTCAGACTTTTTCCAAATTGGTGTTAGAAGGGATAATTGACCAACTCTTCACATGCGCTGGATGCATTCCTTGTAACTGCAGGGACACTTCGGGCAAACTTCTAGGACTCTGTACAATCAACACTGTGCAGCTGAGTCCCCTGCAAAATGTAGTCTCTTCTTGAAGCTGATATTCATCCAGTGTTTGTGATATACGAGGAATAACTTTGTGACTCTAGATACAATTAGCCCACTTCTTGGACAATCCAGAAAATCCTTCCGTTAGACTTCAACACATTGACGACCAAAGCCTTTCTCGGACCAGCCAACATTTTCAGATAAAATCACGCACAATTCCATTAACAGTACATCTACAGTAGCGTTGGAATGCTGGCAAAAACAGTAGAGGTTGTATCTAGATTCAGCATAAAAGAAAACTCCCAGAGCTGATTTGAAACAAATTAGTAGCCATTTCAATAGGAGTTATGGTGTGCCAAGCCTTGACACACCATGGGTGTCAAGCGGTCGTCAATATGTTAACAGAGGGACTGACGTTCTTTTGATATCCACGGGATACTTTTCCTGTAAAGGTGAAAAACTAAATGCAACGCAAATACTTTGTGCAGTTCAGGAGATGATCTCGCCCCGAGCGAAATGCCTTCATTATCTAAATCCCGACGCCCACTTCAACTGCTAAAATACCTAGTAGCACTTCTCAATAGATTGGTAGACACAAGCGTTGTTGAGTCGGAGGGTTTGCTGTAGAAGTCTTCGCGATATATTCCATCTCATGTCGGGACGGGCGGGAGGGGGGAGGGGGGGGGGGGGGAGTCGAGGTCCCCTGTTCAACACAAGCTATCTAGCCGCTTCCAAGATCTTTGCTTGCCTGTTCCGAAGATCCTTTCGCAAATGGTGCTGATGATGTTCACCAAGGCGCGCTCAAGTTGTAATGCCTTCGGATCCTTCTCGATGCCCTTCTACTTTTGGCCATCATTTGGTGGTCTCAAATGCGTCCCCGCTTCCTCGTGAAGCCCGCATTCTTTGCAGGCTGGCAAACCTTGCAAAAGCGCATTGCACTTCTTTTTATAAAGTCTTCCTTGGTGGGTCATTCACAGCTTATGAGTCCTCCAGCATGTGACCGTCGCCCAAGAGTCTT